GAATGTTTTTAATTTGAAGTGGCAGACAATATTTAAACAAAGCTGGAAGTGAAAGAAAATATTTTCCCAGCTTGACTTGCTCGCTCTCTTTCTGAAACCAGCAATACTGGTCATTCGGAACCAATCTTCTTCCTATAATAAAAATGGAATCCTGTTTCTTTGTAAACTTTCTTTAAATGATAGTAAAAGGGAACTGCCTATCCATGTTTTCTAAACTATGCAGCAGGCTCAGAGATAAATGTTTTGGAGGGGGCTTGAAGATTATTTAATTTGGGGAGCTGTCTTTTAGAGAGTATATAGATAGGCATGAAAATAAATTAAAATGGAAAAAAAAGAATTTACAACAAATTAGTCTTAGTGACATAATCCCTTTTTTCTGAATTCTTTTTAGGTGATTTATCATTTATCAAAACTGCATGTATGGAAACTCAGGCTTTTCCCAACTAGAAAGTTCCATCATACCTGCCACTCCCAGCATTCATAGGAGCTACACAAGTGCCATTAGTTTTCAGGAAAATTTACTTCTGCTGAAAAGATTAAAAAAAAAACAAACAAAGGACCCCTTTTAATCTAAATTGTCATCTGCCCTCTAGTCTGTGGCTTATATGGTTTTCCATGAGTTAAATGCTTGAACAAAAAGGATTTTAAAAACATCATTTACTGGTCTGGGTCCAATTTTAGATTGAAAACTTTTACCGATTAGAACTTTTAGATTTTTTTTAACCTAGTCTTAGTATCTGTTGGACAGATTATTTTTTTCTAAAACAAATGAGAAAATTCCACATTATGAAATAAAATTTAAAGACCCTTCTTTATTCTGGTAAGAACATATTTGGTTGTTAAAGTACCTGGAGAACCCGTGGCTGTACGGAAGTAATCAAACGATTGTCTCAGATTTTAATACATTCGCATTTATCACGAGGGAGCTATTTCTATTTTCCTTTTTTTTTTTTGGCTTTTTTGCAGAGTAGACATAGCAACTGTTCTAAAGCACACGAAAGCCATGTTTTATCTCCACCTTTACAGGTCACATTTTTTTATGTGAGCAAATAAGCAGTGGGAGTCCTTGCCTTGGCTTTGGAATTCTCGTTTGCACGTGCTTTGTACCATTTGCATGCCCAGAGTGAGGACGTTTACACCAGCAGTTGGATGCTTTGCCACTCTGGGTAACCAGAACAGGCTTTGTTATATTAATCAGAAAATGATGACAAGGCTGGCTGCTCGGTAAAGTGCACCTGGGCCACTCCTGTCATACCTGCTCCGATCCCAAGGCAATCCTGGAAAATACTCCCTCACCTCCAAGAAAAATAAAAACCAACCCCCCAAAAATGTCGCTTTAAGCAGAAGTTTCCTCGAGGGTACATTTCTTCTATTTTCACCGGATTCCACTTTTCTGTATCTGGATATTTCCTCCCAGATACAGTAATGAGTGGAGCATCCGGTGCTTAGTTTCCTAGAGGCTTTACTTGCAATGCTATGGAGAATTTCATTTTTCTAATGGTGTCTGAGAGCACTGTCTTTGCTCTCATCCAGTTTGCCGTTTGCACCTGCCAGCTCCTGGCGTGTAGTGCCTTTGGGATGTGCAAAGGCCGTAAGGTTACAGCCAAGTGATCACAGCTCCCTCCCTGTGGGTCTTGTTACCTTACAGAAAATCCATTCTAGGGTTGCAAGTGCTTTTTCTTTGCTTTTAGATCGTTTAAGAACTGGCTTAGTGAGTGCCTTAAGCACTGCTCCAGGTCTCTGTTCAAAGATGACCCTCCAAAATACTTATTTTTCTGTGGAAGGCTGCTTTCTCTACTGGAAAGAAATGTTTATATGATTCCATCCCTTATCTGTTTCAGCTTGTGACATAATTGGTACCTTGTTAGGATTTGCATGAAGACATGCCCATTGCCCACGTTACGATGTTCCATGCCTCCCCTATTTCTCTCCATCTTATTTGTCAACATCAGACATGCCATATGTCTGTGTCTTTCCCCACCTCTGATAACCCACAAGGGCAGAGATTTCTTGAGATTAAGGGTGTGGGGGTCTGTATGGTTCAGTCCTGAATACCCTGAGCCTAGAACAGTGTCTGACACATAGTAAGTGCTCAACAAATATTTGACTAAACAAAGACGCAGTTTTAAATTAGAATTAACAATATTATATTTTTATTTATATGGGGGAAGAAGACCTGTTAACTTTTCACTTTGTATTAGTTCATTTCCTGCATAGCTAAATATGCAGTTTATAGATTCATACACATCTTTCCTTTGCTGCATCGGCACTAACGTAGCTAGATACTTTCCAGTACGCCATGCTGGGCTCTCACAGATGCTCACTATTGAGTGTCCAGGTGTTGCCTGGAAACACAAAATCAGATCCTGACCTGTTCGTGATTAAA